CCAACCCATTACTAGCGTGGTGTACCTAATAAAGTGGCCGGTGAGTGTATGTAACGTTTTTCTGTAGTGCACATTGTGAAGTGGCATTGTGGATGCAGGGTCTCAGGCCAGCCTCATGAAGTCTGTTTCTAACGGTTTGGTCAGAGACTGTTTTTGTTTTTTTGTTTTTTTCAGTTGAAAGCAGTTTAAAGTTAGAGAGAAGGCTTGAAATGATTTTTCTTTAAGATGTGTTTAAAATGTGCCAGTGAGATCAAACTGGACAGTTTCAGTACTTGCTACAGTGAATTTCACAAGTAGGGGTCTCTGCAGACGAGTGCGGACGAGTGGGTGTGCCACAAGGAAAGGCGATTCTAAAGCGACACACCTGATTTGACGGACTTTGTTAAAAGGACACACCTGACTGGACAAGCAAAAAAAGGGGCGTCACCGTACGGCACCACCTGATTGGACAAGAACAAAAGGGGCGTTACTGTGTACCTGCATTACAGGATGCAGGACAAGGTCAAGGTGAAGAGGCGAGTACTTTACAGGTGAGTCCAACAGCAGATGAGGAGGTTCCAGGATTGGTTGGAGGCAGACAGGCAGCAGATCAGGAGGGATCAGGTGAGTGGCTCTCAGTTAGGTTCTCGGCGGGTTCACAGCAAGGTTTCCCAAGGTTTACTTTTTAGTTATCACTCTGCACACAGGTAAACAAACAACACAGATTAGCAAAACTAAGGTACGCAAATCTMTAAAAGGCTGAGGTGCTTTACCAAGAGCAAGCGATGCATCAGCGAGGATCAGTTCTTCTGTGCCGCCTTATGAACCCTGAGAGCTGATGATCCCAAACTGCTGCAGCTGTGGTGAGGCAGGTGACCAAATAAGGAGCAAAACAGGTGACAGTCACAGAATGCCTCAACTTCCATCCCCCCAGCCACTTGGGCCAGTTCCTCCGGGGAAATCCCAAGGCGTTTCCAGGCCAGCCGAGAAACGTAGTCCCTCCAGCATGTCCTGGGCCTTCCTCTGGGTCTCCTCCCAGTGGGAAGTGCCCGGAACACTTCACCGTCACCAGGGAGGTGTCCAGGCGGCATGCTAACCAGATGCCCGAGCCACCTCAACTGGCTCCTCTCGACG